TCGAGTTATGAACGCCTCTGCTTACGAATTTTTCGTGTTACAACCAGCTCCGGCCCCAAAAATTTACCTCGTGTTGAGTGGTACCTCGAGTTACGAACGCCTCTGCTTACGAATTTTTCGTGTTACAACCAGCTCCGACCCCAAAAATTTACCTCGTGTTGCGAACCACCTCGAGTTACGAACCAGATCCGCGGCCATTTTCCCTCCCATGACACATGGTCCGCGGCCATTTTTCCGCCCCTGACACGTGGTCCGCGGCCCTTTTTCCGCCCCTGACTCTCCCTCCAAGCAATAGCCGCCTCCCTGTCCTCCACGCCAGAACAGATTAACGGTAATTACATTGAACCTTATGAGAAAATTTGCCTCGTGTTGCAACCAATTCGAGTTGCAACCAGAGTCACGGAACTGATTAAATTCGTAACTCGAGGTACCACTGTATAGTACATATATTTGTATATCCCCTTTAATTATTAAGATCAGCTGGTTTCTTTTGTATGTCCAGTGTAGCATTTTTCCATATCATTCTTGTAGCCTGTCACTTTTAAATCCATTTTCAGATCAGTCTCAATCTTGTCAGGTAAAACATGTTCCTCTTCCATAAACATCTTTTAAATATAGTCTGTCTATAGAGGCAGACACTCTTATAATTAACTTCTGGGTCCATTGTTCAGAAATATCCTTCATTATGTCAAATGTTAAAATATTTTGTTTCATTCTGTATTTGTAAGTCGAATTTGTGTTCTTCTTCTTAAATTGTAATCTTTAGTTCCTTCTAGTTCCCACTAGTGTCCAGGCTTCAAAGTCCCATCTCATCATGTTTTTTTAAAAGAATTCAAAACAAAAGCATTTTCCCATGGGAAGGAGTCTTATAACTAATTTCAAAATCTTATTTCAAATCCATATGGACCCTTAGTCTGTTTGTGACTTTCCAAAATCAAAGTTCTGATCACCTTTTTGCTGTTTATTTTAAAAAAATAATTCTTAAACTTGTATTTAAAACTTCTTTCACTAAGGATTGAAGGAAACTCACCTGGTGTTTTGAGACTTATTGATCCAAAGGTTCCTAACAGTTGAAAAGCAGTTAACAAGCAATTTCCAAAAGTGATTAGAAAAGGAAGTATGTGAACCCAATGTCCTTTTAAAGGTGCCAACTGTGTTTTGAGCAAGATGGCTATTCCCTTGTCCCCCAGAGCTCTAAACCTGCCAGAGACCACTGTCTTGCGGTCTCCTCATAAGGAGCAACATCATGGAGCACTTGTGGGCAATCTCAAATCCTCTCCTTATCTCAAGTCCTCTCCTCTCAATAGCTCTTCATTTTGCCGCGGTCATCAGCTCTAGTTTTAGTGAAGCTATCTTCAGTTCACCATTTCTTCCCCGGAAGTCCAAAAACCCCAAACTCTCAATCAGCCCCATTTTTAAATGCTGCTGTTTATAGAATATTTGAAAATGGAATTAGCAGTTAACTGTAAGCATAAAATACAATTAACTACAACAGTTAATAAGCAAAAGAAAAGAAACCAACATTTGTCTCCTGTACTGTGAAATTTAATAGAACAATTGCCACATATTGATGATCTTTCTTGCAATCTTTTCTTTCACTGCCAGGCAATATGATAGTGACTTGATGATTATGAACGCAGTAATTCATAGCACAATAATTCAACTGTTTAATAGCAGAAAAAAAGTGGCTTAACTAACATTTATTTTTTAAAAAGCCTTTTCTTAGGTTCTTTTTCCATGTGAAAGTGAAAGACTCATAATTGGAGTAATTACATTAGAAGAAGCCTAAAGAAAAAAAATACAGTTCCTTAAAAAACAGCTATGAATGTTCCTTAATCTAAGTGAAAAAAATACTACTTTTGAATTGTCTTAAAAATGCAAGTAAGCCCAAAGAAGAGTTCAGTGGAATTAATATCATTTCTTTTCTTTTTTTTTAAGGGAATAATTTATATGAAGATCTGTTCAGCCCCTGATTTCCTAAAATTGGAATCTTGGAATTGTCTATTGTTGCTTTCCCTTTTCTTGTTTCGAAGGGTTGAAGATAACTTGAAAGTTTGTTGATCAGTGTGTGTGTATTGCACATTGAATTTCCATCTTCTGATAGACAGGTTTCATTGGTTTTATTGTCCTGTCAACCTTTTTGTCCAGAAGCAACAATAATCCAGGATAAACATATGCACCATAGAAACTTAGATCTCTCTATCAACCTTCCTTCAGTTGTCTTATACACACACACTAATGAGCATCTTTTGCAAAATGTTAGTGATTCAGTTATGAACCCAGAGTGGCATGCCAACAGTGAAGGCACATATGAAAGAAAATTGCACTGCAGAGACAGACAAGAAATACTACATTTTCCTTTTCTTCCTTAGGCCATTTAGAAGTTGTTTCGTTACTGATCAGTCATGGGGCTGAAGTGACATGTAAAGATAAGAAGGGTTACACTCCACTTCACGCTGCTGCATCCAGTGGCCAGATCAGTGTAGTGAAACACCTGCTCAATCTTGGTGTGGAGGTAAGAAGTTGTTAATACTACTTTTAACAAGCTAGTGAAGACTGAATTGTTATCATTCCTGGCTATTGAAACTTTAATTTTTCTATGAAATGAACTTTTTAGTGCCTTTTTAAAATGTGTGCTGTCTTTGGCAAGGTTGATAAAGGAACTTTTATTCTGTCTTTTGGATTATAAATTGTTTTAATCCTTCTGAACCATGATATTAATACACCATAGCTGTTGAGAGTGACAGCTTGAGGTGTAATTCCCCAACTTCCTTTGTCCCTTAGACTTGGTATAACAATAGAAATACAGATGTCATACAGAGGTGCCACTAAACCATATGATGCACAGCAGTAAAGTGCTTATGCACTTCTGTAAAGTGAGGATAGTCGTTCCCATATTACTGGACAAGATTTTTGTATTCTCTCCCTTAATTCACTGAAGGAATAATCTGTTCAGCATTGATAGCTGTTCAGCCTAGATAACAATACTATTTCGGATTTTCTTTTCTTTTTATGCTTTTTCTGCCACCAACTAACATACAGGACGTTCAAGTTTGAATGAATCCAAGTAAAGATAACCACTTAAGACCAGCATGTAAGATCTCTGTGCAAACCTACAATGGGGGAAGGATGCAATTCCTTGAAAAAAAAATGCAAACCTGTGACTTTTTAAAAAAGAAAAAATATATTATTTTTAATTGACTATTTCTCTACCACTCTTCCTCTTGGAGGAGCCCAAAACAGCTTATAACCAAACAACAAAACATTAAATGAAGCCATCAAGGATAAAACCAACAAACCTGAAAACAATCACAATATAACTAATAATAATTAATATTATTAAATATTAATAATAACTAATAATTAATGATTTTTTAAAAATTATTCTAAAATGTAGTCCAAAAAGTAGTCAGGCCCTGGAGTTGTCCTGTAAATGCCAGAGCAGAAATCCCAGGGTGGTGCAAAGAAGACTACGTGGAGACCAGCCGTATTGGGACAAAGTTCAGAGTTGGAGCAGAATGCAGAGGTTTAAGTGTAGTGTTGGTCTCTCTTTGAGTGACAGCGTATTTTCCCAGGATTGTGCTTTAAGGAGTTACAAAAAGATGCTCGTTTGTATCCTGCACACTACAAAGCCTATTTTTGGAACTGGATCCATGGTTCTGCACCTTCCTATTATCTCCCCTGCTTGAATCCAAACTGAAATAGCCTCACTCAGCTTCTTCCAAGCCTGCTTATAATGGACAGCCACCTCTCCCCGCTATTTTGCTTGTTGGGTGATAGTGCTCTTAACCTCAGAGTTTGATCTCAGCATTATAAGAACAAGTTCAGGAGCTCGTTGAGGGTACAACATTTTTTCCTTTTTTTACAAAATTGATTTTATAGCCCTAGGGGGGAAATAGTTAAGCTGACGTTATTTTTTCATATGCTGTTTTATTTAATTGTGTGATATTTTGGCCCTTTGTTGTGTGATACATTTTCTTGAAGAAATGAGTTACATTCCATGTGAAATATTACGAACCTATTTATCCTTACTGGAATCTCTTTCTCTTTCACACAAACTCATACGGTGAGCATAGTTAGTATTTTATAGATTATATTTTGTTAATGAAAAGCGCTTGCTTACAATGACAAGCCTTGTCCTGCAATTCTCCAGCTAGGTCAACATGCAACGAGGCATGGGTTAGATAAAACCAATGAGTTAATGTAAGTAATTTCATGTGGCCTTTTTCTATTGCAGATTGATGAAATGAACCTCTATGGAAATACTGCCCTTCATATTGCTTGTTATAATGGACAGGATTCTGTGGCTAATGAGCTGATAGACTATGGAGCTAATGTCAATCAGCCTAATAACAGTGGATTCACTCCCCTGCATTTTGCTGCTGCTTCTACTCATGGGGCCCTTTGTTTGGAACTGCTTGTGAATAATGGGGCAGATGTAAACATTCAGGTAAAATTATAGGTTTCACATCACTTCATTTTGATTTCCGCTTCTTATGTCTTTAAACTGCAGATAAATGGAACAGAGATCAGGTAAGTGAAGGTTATGTCTTACACTTACACATTTAAATGCTGCGCTTTGGGGTATTCCTCTTAAAATACACCGTACATTTCTGATCTGGACAGCATGGGAGACATGACTATTGAAGGGAGAAAAATGTATACTATTTTTAACTTACCATGTGCAATACAGACACATTATTTTCTCTGCAAAAATCCTTTGGAATGGCTTACTGTTACATGAAATTCACATGGGGAAAGAAAAAATAAGGCAGTGTCCTTCACGTGGTTTAGGGGTGAAGAATTGAGATCAGGCCACGGGTTGTTCAGCTCCTTTTAAGATTCTGCCTTCATTAAACATGTAGACACATCCTATCCATTATAGGTATTCTATATATCACAAGTGGGATCAGAAACAAAGGAAGTAGGCACTTCACTACCAATTGGCATGATCTATGTTACGTTTGTTTTTTCTTTTGACAGAGTAAAGATGGGAAAAGCCCACTGCATATGACAGCTGTCCATGGGAGGTTTACGCGATCACAAACTCTTATTCAGAATGGTAAGCTAGTATTTTTAATATTGTATTATTTTAAAGCATCTTTAGGAATTTTGTTAAGTCTTATATCTTTTAGAAAATGAACAACTGCATATTTTCTTTCTTTCTGATATACAACCCAAAGCAAGCAAGAGTGAAAAGATAGACTTATTTATTTATTTATTTATTTATTTATTTATTTATTTATTTATAGTCAGAGACGATAGTTAAAGAAATGAATAGGAAGAGAAATAATAAGTAATAAAATGAACTTAAGTATAACTAGAATCTATACCTAATTAAGACATCAATAGAGTAAAATAGTAAACAACAGCAATGGCAATTGAACAAAAATTAACAACTCTCCTAGAAATTGTGGAAGACCTATCAGCTAAAGGGGGGAGAGAATATTGTTTATAAAGTATGTAAAGTGTACCAAAAAAAAAAAAATCCAACCACCAATATTAATGTAAATATTTTTGTACTATTATAGCCACTCAGTGACAAAGAACACAAGTTTGAAAATAAGTCTGTTTTTCAAATAAAATTTGTAAGCAAAAGCAGAAGTTAATTAAAACAATTCTGTTAAAATTCCACACTCAAAGTGGCTACAATAAAACTGTACTATTACAAAACTCAGGAATGTCAAGGATATTATTTTGTCTGCATTTATCTGACAATAAGTCCCATGAAACTCAGTAAGCTTATTTCTAAGGAGATATGCACAGGATTGCTCTGTTAAACAGACTAATATGGCTTCCAAATTATAAAATTGCCAGTACCTCCCTCACTAGCTGAAGAAGCTAATTATATAATCAAGATAGCTGTGAGCCACTGGGCCCGATTAGCGAGAGCTAGCACATTTGCCAACAAACCAAAACCTTCTCTTTTATGTATTTATTGATTTTATTTAAGACCTCTTCACTTTTGTAATTATATTGATATGCTGCTCCTGCTGTCCTTCGTCTTGCCAATTTTTTCCTTTATAACTGTGTATTAATGCAATCAGAATAGGGCTAATTCATAGACGTTGCAACACTTCAAAATGGCTCCATATCTCTATAATCCCATTGTCTGAGCAGTGTTCAAGAGCTGAATGGATTTCTTTCTTTCTTTTTCTTTCTTTTCCTTAATGCTGGGGCTCTGTGGAGCTTTTGGACAGTCCCTTTCTTCATTTGCAGGAAGCCCTCTCTCACCAGGCTTCCCAGCTGTTGATTAGGCTTCCGGTTTTTCGAAGGGATAGGTAGCTTGATACTTTGCAGTGGTTCCATAGTATTTGCACATGAGCAAATGTGTGTTCCAGTATTTGCACATGAGCAAACAAATGCATGCAACCATAGGAGCGTGTGAAAAAGCATGTGTGTGTGTGTTTGTATTGAAATGTGATGAAATAGGCTTCATGATTCAAACTCTACCCCATACCTATTTGCATGCAAAGGCATGACACAAGGACAAAGAGGTGGAGTTTGTTTTGTCCTCTTAGCATCATCCTTGTTATGAGTTGGCACTAGTGCACACACATGAAGCAAGGACATGGTTGTGGGGCAGGTGTGTATGTGTTTGTAATTTATTTTACTTCTCTGTGTAGAATGGAAGTGGGAGTTTTGCTTTCAACATCTGTACCAGTTCAGGGCTTGACAGCAATTTTCGTTTCTTGTTCTTAGCATTTAATGTTCATCAAGTTTGGAAAAAATTGTGGAATATCTCCAAATACGATATAAGCAGGGCACAGTTAGAATACCCATAAATCAGGTGTAAAAGTACTAATTCTTGATTGCTCTGTTATATGCAGTTCTCATGATTAAGCCGATTATGTTGGTTCATCTCTGACAAAGTAGCCAAGATGAATGTGGTGGATATAGAAAGCATAGATGGTAAACTTAAGAGAATAGTAGAAAAATATTTTTTAATGAAACTAGAAATTGTAGCATAGGCAGGTTTGCTACCAAAAATAGTATTGCCCTGAGTTCTCCCCATTTGCCATCATACCTTTAATAAATTTCATTCCATATCATGATGTTCTCATTAAGAAAGTCTTTATTTCTATTTGGATGCTGTCCAAGCTCTTGGTATGATGAATTATCAGAAAGATAGTACAAACTGGAAACACTTTTAACCTCGCTTCTGATAATATCTACTTCTGCCTTTTACCAAGGAAATCCTTTTTAAAGAAAAACCTAGGTATCCCGTTTGCCTAAATCTAAATGAGAATTTGGCAGCATTTTTTTTCATTTTGGTATTGATCAGTGAAATTACCTAAATCAGGTAAGAAATATTTGGATTTTGGGGAAGCAGTACAAACAAAATATATATTTTGACATAAGTTGTAGATATGGATACACACACATGTATAGAAGTTTAAGGGGAAATGTTGTTGTTCGGTCGTTAAGTCGTGTCCGACTCCGTGACCCCATGAACCATATCGCGCCAGGCCTTCCTGTCCTAAGGGGAAATACAGGCACAAAATCATAGTGGCCACATTTAGCCCACTATATAGTTTAACTCCATGAATGACACAGACAATCCACATCAGAGCACCCTGAGTGGGTGATAATTTCCCTCTCTTTCTCTCATTCTCTTTAGCTTTCTGTCATGCTGTTCTGTTCAGAGAAGGGACAGACTGCTCTTACCAGAGGTCTGAACTCACCTTTTGTAGGAGGTTGTAAAAAGTAGGCCTTTTGTACTAAACCATAGGGATTGCTTATTCCTGGTTTAAGTAAACAATAAAAATTTTGAGGGTGACAGAGACCTACAGCTTCCCCCTCAAAACCTTTCTTCAGTTTGATGAGGAATTGTGAAATTGTGTAATAAAAATAATCTCAGTATAGGTTTAAGTGTAATTGACAAAGCAGTAGGAATACTAATGAGCCAGAAGTGGAGGTGAATTTGCTAATTTCATTCAGAATAATGTTAGCAAAAAAAAGAAAGAAAAGCAAACATATGTCTGACAATATGGGTTGGCTAAAATGTCATGGGAAATTCTGAAGCTGAGCTAACTTATTTGTCATATTTACATTATGTGGCAAGAGAGTTAGGGAATTTTTTAGACTGGGTTCACACAAAATGCTAGCCTAAGCAAAAATAGAGTTGGGTAAGAGCAGAATCTGTGTTATACGCAGCTTTTATTGAATTCAAATTCACTTTTGATCTTACTGTCAGATATAAATTATGTTGTAAACATAAGAATTCTGAATAGGCACACAGGTGAACAGATGAAAAATTTCAAGTATTTATGGGTAATATTTTGTATTACCTGTAAATGCAGGGCACATATGGAGCATGTTGTTCAAAATGCATAGAAATTGGGAATATCCCTGAAATCTTTCTGTTATTCTAGAGGTGCATAATTCACATTTGCTGCAGTAAAAGTATTTTTGGCTGGAGTTCAGGCAAAACCTCTGTCCAGAGCCCAGTTGGGATCGCATAGCTCCTTCACCACCTTGGAGAGGATGCAGCCTAACTCTTAAGGAAGATATTACAAGGCCAAAATGTGTTCCAAATGTGGTTTTTGCTGTAAGGCCAGCCTAACCAAAATTGAGAGTCATTTTTGGACATGCATCCTCTCATATTTATTCAAAGTTGTATGGTAATAATTTTCTGTATTTTGGTGGCACCTTCAGGATATATAGTACTAGTTCCAGTAGTATACAATTACTAGATTATTAATTTCTGCTATAGCCATTCAATAAATTCATTGCTAATTACTTGCATATTTCTGTCTCAAATAATATATTGTAAATGGTGAAAAGACAAAGGTAAGTTGTATAATCTCTTCTGCTGGCTGGTATGGGTGGAAATCTCTACTCCTTGCAAATAATATGGTTAATCTCTTTATGAAATTGCACTTGATCCTTACCTATTATTTTCATATTAAAATGACAAATCCAGGAGGTGAAATTGACTGTGTTGATAAGGATGGCAACACTCCCCTTCATGTGGCTGCAAGATATGGACATGAGCTTTTGATTAATACCTTAATAACCAGTGGAGCTGATGCTGCCAAGTAAGTTGCTGAAGAAGTAATATTCCAAACTGTAAACTTATACTGTTGATATAAATGGGGACTTTAGAGTGCACCAACAGCTTGGATTGGGAAGATGGTCAGTTTAGCAATGGTTGTGAATATTCAAGATGGATTTAGCGGTTTCTGGACCTGTTTGTTTGTTTGTTTGTTTTTAAACCCATTGATTCTGTATGACACCAGTAGTCTTTGGTTAAAGTCCCTGGTAGGACAGGACCAGCAAACTGTTTACAACTGCAATTAGCAGAAATTAAAATAATGTTTTTATTTTAACCTTTAACATTTCTAGACTTAATTTTATAATGGGCTTTGGACCGTACAACTCAGAACTATTGCTATGTTTTCTTTTTGGTGAAAAATACCACATATTGTTACTACCTTTGGTTAGATTTAGAAAGAAGGTTAGAAGGATACGAACTACAATATTTGGGGCTTATTCCTGTATGAATTTTAATGCATTCCTTTTCTAACTACTGAAGATAGAAACGAGCATCAGTGAGAGAAACAGCAATCCATGTTATCCACTCAAAATTTCTATTACATGCTTCAGTGACCTGTATGTTGATCAAATAAAATACCTCTGCCAGTGCCTGAGATGTCCAGTGAAGTGAGAATCCTGCTTGGAATCATTAGATAGACATCAATGTTGAGATGAGATAATCTATCTGGGACCAAGAATGAAAATTTGAATTGCTCTTTGTCAAGATCATTTTGTGTCCTTCCAGATTGGCATCCAAAGGCAGCAGCTTTGCAACAGAACGCTCAAGCAATGTCAAAGGACATTACTTGAAATAATTATGCGTAGGGGGATGAAGGAGTAAATGAGTAAATTTGACTTATTTGTATTCAGATAGGAAATGTTTAAAATGCAACCTGGAAATTATATAATTCTGATGAACCCTGTAGATTATTCCAGTACTTTTACCAATCTGCCTGATAACATATTTGTACAACAGGAGATTACAAACTGGTTCTGGAGGGGATTGTTATTTAGTAAGCAGGAAATCTTTGTAAAGCTTTACTATATGTCACTAGAAAACATATTGCTGTCTTATCACTGTGACATAAACCCCGATTTCCCCGTGGAAAATAGATTTAGAAGAGAGACGTACACAGAGAGAGGCCTACAAACCTTATCTGAAGAAATGTTTATATCAGAGGTTTGTTTGCTTTTCAGATGTGGCATCCATCGCATGTTTCCTTTACACTTGGCAGCACTTAATGCACACGCTGACTGCTGTAGGAAGTTGCTTTCATCAGGTAAGCAAATGCAAAAAAGAATGCAAAACTCAGTTAACGTTGTGAATGAGCTGGTTATGGGTCACTGATGTATGTTCACGTACTTAAAAAATGAATGTTCTTATGTTCTGTTTCAAATGCATGGTGTTGCATATGTTTATATGTGCAAGTCTACGTGTTCCTATTTGAATACATATAGAATCCTGTTCTATGTATTGTCTGTGTTTGAAGCATGCTGAATGCTCTCCCCTTCTTTAATGACCACAAAGAACGGTTGTTAGAGCACCAGTTATAGGACACTGTACTATTTCTGGAGGAAAGGAAGGAGTGATTCTTGTCATTTGCCTTTCCATCTGCAGAACCTTGAAAAATCTACAGGCAGAGGGGACAAGGCGGAGAGCAACTTTATGGGTCTTGATTGTGGGGGTGGGATGGGGGAACACAGCTGCAACGTTGCAGTTTCTTCTTGTACAAAGGAGACTCTGTTGAACTGAAATCCTTTCTGTGAATCAAAGGAGCCTTTTGTTTATAAAACAACTACCTTATTACCTGGTAATAAGCTTGATCTTTCCCAGTAATTTGGCACAACAGTAAACCAGGTTTCCTGTGAATCTTGGCATGCAGATTTCTTCCTCCCATTTAACAATTCCCACCACCAGGAACTTACCAATTCCCCAGTTGCTTCTGCTTATCTCCCCAAGCAAATTGGAGTGGTTTCTGTCAGTCAAAATAAGGTTAACTTTACATCCAAACCCAAACTGCGGAGTTTGAGATAATTCATCATTTGTTCACAATCCTGGCTTGTTAGAGGATTTGCAGTTCAAATTTGGCCACCAATGGTAAGCTTTCTATGGCTGATATGTTTCTGATTATTCTTCCCATTCTGGCTTGTAGGAGGTTTCAGATGGGAGTACCTGGGAAGTACGTACTAGCTTGCTTGACTGTTATCTTTATAATAAGCCAGAATTCTCAACAAATCTATCTTAATATTGAGCCTAATGGGGTTTACTTTAGAGCAGACAGGTATAAGGCTGTTCTGTTTGGGTTCCCAGATACATGATAAAAAATGTAAAGCATTGTATAAATAGGAAATCATGTTGTCCCCTTTTGCTCTTATTTGTTTTGCTACCATATCCTTTGCTGAGACTTTAATCTTATTTTAAATTTCTAATTTCAATGTCACTTGTTTTTTATTATTGACTTGTATGTCACTCTGTAGTCCTATAGAAATCCATAAATATTATTTGAAATAAACTAGATTAAAGGAGGCTACATAAGATTAATGTTTTTGTCTCTTAAATGTTTTTGATGTCAAAAATTAGGGCAATCTAAGTCAACTATTTTGGAGGGCCAGACTTACCCCCAGCAATGCCCAGGGACTCTGTGTGCAATTTTTCTTCACCATTTTTGATGAACAAGGAGGCAGATAATAGAACTAATGGCTATTTTCACCATCCAAGACCAATATGCTACTTTTTGACAAAATATTTATCAAAATATCAGTTTCCCACAATGTGGGCTATTCCCAACTGCCTAACTACTTGCTCTCCAAAATTAGTGAAGCAGCTGTCCCTTGCTCTGACCTGCCAGCTAGGTCTTGTCCTCCATTGGGCAAAGTCTACCACCAGTTCTAATCCTTGCAACATGTCTTTCTGTAGAGGGAGCACCCAGTTATTTCATCCATTAATGTTAAAATCAGTACAGTTGGCAAAGGAAGGATAATGAAAACTGCTTTCACATGTACACTTTCAGACATTTTCAAATGCCCAATATTGGAGCAGTTGTATTGTCTGGGTGGAGATGATTACAGAAGTGTGGGAGAACAATGATGTGTCTCCTTAATCTCTTAGCTCCTTTATCCTTGTCATCATCATCATACTAAACAAACATTAAATCCAGTTTCAGAGCTGTGGAACATCTTAAGTGAGGCTCAATTATTTTCTCATTAGCCAGTTCAAACAATTTGCATCCATGGTTTCCATTGCTCCATCTCTCTATGGCAGAAGCGCCCATCAACTTCTGGTGAAGGAATGTTCAGTCTTTATAGAGACCTCCTGAAAAATTATTCTCATCTCTGGAGATGGGGATTATGTAGGAAAAAAAGCAGACAGAAGTCATTCGACATCCCTGTGAATCCCTGTGTCTCTGCTGCCTTAAGGGAAATGATCATCTTTTTTTTGCAATTTCCCAGAGACAATCCACCCCACCCCCCCTTAAGTGTGGATTTTATTAGGTTCTTACTGCAGTAAAATTGTGCTGCTCTCCATACAAAAATCTGTCCTTCCCTAGAAAGTCATTCTTCCTATTCCTGTACAAAATCTGAGGCCATTAGTAAATAAAAACCCTCTTTGATGCATGCTGAGGCAATTCCTGTGACTTCCTCATTTTCCTTCCAGAGCTCTCTGCCTTCACGCCTGCTGTCACTTCTCTTGATAAGTCTGCTCCTGAAAATGCCTGCTGCATGATTTAAATACTTCTGGATGTGAAAATAGATTCTTTTTGACTTTATGGTTCTTTTTGTTTTCTGTAGCGGCCAAGCTTGAACAGCCACTGTCCGTTTCCATAACAACCTCTTGCTGACTACAGTTGTGTCTTCATTCTGATTTTTTTTTTTTCTGACTAACTAATTTTTCTGTCTCTGCAATGTTTCTTGCGGTTTAACTAGGACAAAAGTATAGCATAGTGTCCTTGTTTAGTAATGAGCACGTGCTGTCTGCAGGCTTTGAAATAGACACCCCAGATAAATTTGGAAGAACGTGCCTCCATGCTGCTGCTGCAGGAGGGTGAGTAGTTTTGAAATTATAACTGCAAAAGATATATGTAATTTTAGCTCTGTGGTCTCCCTGCAATTTTTTTTTTCCAAAGAGGAACAGCAAAATGACACAAAAACTTAATTTATGAGGCTTCTGTTTTGTGTGGGATGCATGAGTGCATGCACACACACACACACCCCACAGACACCACTTGAGAAAAAAAAACCTGGTTTTGCACATGACAAACTATGCTTGCTTTCCTTGAGTCAAGTAGGTACCACTATTCCCCTATCACAGACTAGGCTCCCCCCCACCCGCCCTCAACTGAGTTTTTCTTCCTTTTTTGGTCATTGTATTCCTCAGCCATCACACAAGTGCTGCAGTTTATCATGCTGAAAACCCCATCTGTAAAGATGAATCTTTAAAAATTAATTGTGGGTTGTGGCTCTCGCATAAAGGGCTTTGACCAGCCAAGTAATGTGGGAGCAGTGTAAACGAAGAGATGTGAAGCCCAGATCGAGCTGCTTTTTTGCCCTTTTTTTCTCCATTGACATGTGGGGCATTGTGGAGTCCTGTCCCACAGCATAGGGGCTGTTGCTTTTCACCCTTTAACAGAGCAGGTTTTCCCTTACCCAGAAACAGAGGTTGCAACTCTAGTGTATTGCAAGAAATCAGCTGCCGTGCCATAAAGGAAAAGCAGACTGGGGACAGTTGTGTTCACATCCATGCTTGCACTAAGCTAGGATTCTTTTAGGTTTCTACATTTGCCATTTTGAATTAGCCCAGAGAGCAGTAAACACACACACACACACCCTAAATGGACATGAATTCAAGGACAGCAGTTGTACTCGGGGCTTGTCTCTCTCCTAAATGGGTAGGATTTCTCTTCCTTGCACATTCAGGCCAGACCAGACAAGCCCATAGTTTGTTCTTTAATATAGGCCAAATTGTAAATTACTGTCCTGGAAAACAGAATCGCCAGACAGGAAAGAAAATAAACACTCATAGTCCTACAGCCAGATCGCTCCTTTTAATAGACTGTGCCTTCCCTTGTATCAATGGTTAGCTATAAAAAGGAAGGGCAAACATCTACTGTTCTAAAATTTATGAATCTGAAGACTTGTTTTAAAGGATGAGAGAGGAAAAAGCGGGCCACAGACTTCAAGGGCTGTGATACAGTTCTTCTGGCCAAGAGATTGACTGAATGTAAAAGAATATGAACTTAATTCCTTTAGTTACGCTTGAAATAACCATTGCATCAAATTTATCTCAAGGTTTCTTAGCTCATTCAAGACATTTCTCATCAGGATGTTCTCCTGCACATTCCAATAAATGTATTGGAATGATCCAGAGCTGTGCTTTTTCCTTTTTGTCTTTTTGTGCTGTCCCCATTCATCACAGTGGGCTGTGTGCAGGGTATCTTCTAGTCAGAGGGGCCTGTAACAAATTAAGCAGTGTTGAAATAAATTGAGGGCAGTGGTTCTTTCTAACTAAATTAATGAGATTAAATTTATGCAATTTGTTTAAAAAGAACGTTCTTGTTATTCACATATTTAACTAAGATTTTTGTTAAAAGTTCAGGAAAAAAAGATTCTTTGGGGGTATGTATCAGAACTCTGAACGTGGCTGGTAGGTAATTGTAAGAGAGAACAGAGCAATCTCAGTGGATCTGGGAGGGACTAGAGTGGAATGTCTACTTCTCCAGCCAGGACAGAAAGTATGGCGGAACTAAGGGAGTTCCTTCCTTGAGCTATTCGGCAAGACATGTCCTTCCATACATGGGAAGAAAACAAGGTATTCCATCTGTAAGCCAGCTCCTTCATGGTCCTTCCCTGCTGTCATCTCAGTAAGCATAACCAGGGCCTCTCTAGAGTGAAACTCTTCTTCGCTTGTCATATGCTAAACATCAAGTGGTTAAGATTCTACTATAAACTGCTAACGGCTGGTTCTAGAGTTATATCCTAAATGTGTTTACCTGGAACTAAGCTTCTCTGAACTTGGTGGGATGTTCTTCTAAATAGACATATTTGTTTATGTTGCATCCCTCTATGAGGTTTAAATACTTTTTTTTAAAAAAGGCCATTCTGGTTGGGAATCCCCAACACATCTGGAAGGTGCCAGCTTGGAGAAGGCTGATCTAACATACAACATGATGGATTCCTGCCTTAAAAATAAAGTATTTTATTGTCATAGCAACCTTGACAGGTGTGTGTCCACAAATTATTATTATTTTGTTTTTTGTTAAGTAGCCATCGAAGAGGACTGTACATACTCCATTGTTTTGAGCAAAGCAACTCAGCATTCATTATGCTCATCAGTTGTGAATGTGCAGTGATCAGAGATGTGAAGCTAAGCCTTTACAGTACTGGTTTAAATATACTCAGATTATTTCTGGAATGTCTTTACCTTTGCACTTGCTGACATTTATACTATTGCTATCATGAAGAGGGGAAAAGTTGGGATGCTTGAGCACAGCAGTGAGTCAGTATTTGACCAGTCATAAAATACAATAATAAAATATTTTTTGCAGAGAGTTGAATTAAAATAATAAGCTATACACATTTTTACCATGGTGTGCATGCTCATTTCACTGTAGACTGTTTTTTGCAGATTTTAAAACTCTCACAAAGCCACATGAAATACGTATTCAGTATGTTTCTATCATAGCATCTTCAATACTTTTAGAAAATGTATTTTTATGGTTGATAAAGCTTTTTAACAGATTAATTAGAAATTAGAAAATCTATCTCAATAAGCGGAACAAGAGTTCTGTTTTTAATAATGCAGTGCTGATACATAAATTCAGAAGCTGTCCTTCGTTTGAGCCAAATGCTTCTTAACCTTGTACAGGCAGAATACTTTAGAGAGCATATGGTGATCTCTAGGTGGGAAACTTTCACATAATTGTTTTCTTGGAAACTACTTGATTACATTTGTAATGTCCAAATGAGAAGCTCACATATGTGGGTGTGAATTCTGAGGCCGCCTTTTCCAAGGGCTGATTTGCGTTGTCACCTAACATGAGCACTGGCACATCTGATAGACCCTTTGTGGTATCCATGCTAACCAGTACAAATGATGTTTCAGTGTTTAAGGAAGACATGCTTACACATGGTTTTCTCAATTAATTGTTATTGTTTTACTGATATATTATAATTTGTTCTTCCTAGTTCCTGAATGGTTAACAGTGATTTTTTTCATCAGTGGACTTTTTTTCATCTACACTGTTTTATTTTATTCATGCATTCTTTTCTTTCTCTGTCTTTTCAGCAATGTTGATTGTGTGAAACTCTTGCAGAGCAGTGGAGCAGATTTGAATAAAAAAGACAAATATGGAAGGTTTGTAACTTATGAAACTTTAAAAATCAATGTGGAAGTCTAGATCTCAGCCTTGCAATATTGGAATTAACAGAGCAGGATTAAGGGGAGCTCATGCTTGGCTGCCAAACTTCATCTTTGGAAAACATGTAGTACAATTCTTAATGCCAACAATTTTCTGGCAAGATATCACATAGGATTTCAGACAAGCCTTTTATTGCTCACTTACTTATCCTTCTTTGTTCATGGGATTAACACTGAATTCAGATGTGGTCATTCTCCATTTGTAATCCTCCTGTCTTTTCCCATCATTTTTCTGTCATATTTCATCCTGAGAAAATTTGTCAAGGAGAAAAAAATGTCTGCACTGTATCTTTTGACTGATAATGCTCTGTTTGGCAGCCCCAGGAGAAACAGGTTGCTTCCAGACTGGGAATCCAATCCATTGAAGGATCTAGGCTAACTAGTGTCCTAAAGCTGGGATGATCTCCTCCTCTCCTCTCCCCAGAGTAAAAATAAAGTTTGCGATTGTATAATAACAACAACAATAAATGTGTTTATATTACACGAACTAGGTGAAGTGCAAACATAACAGTATAGAATTAAGACTGAGACAGATGACAGCAATGGCTATATCTGTTACAGTATAAGGTTACAACTTCCTTCATAGGATCAGAAATAAACCTTCCCTGTCCAAAATGTAACCCCAAAAGAGAGAGATGCACAATATATCAGTGGTGTATTCTTTCCCCTTTCCTAGTAAGATTTAAATTGTTTGCTTCTAGATTATTTTGCACTAGAGTTCATCTATATGGCAGCCCAGAAATTATAATTAATTCAGTATAAGGAAGGCTCAGTGTAGAATAGACGGTTGTGCTGTCTCTGTCATTATTTAAACAGCTGAATCAAGAGTTTTTCTAAAAAATACTTTTCTCTTAGTCACTCTGAGTTACCCCTTATATTTAGCCAAGCTCTAATAAGCAACATTTAGATATCTGGAAGAAGAAAGGATGCCCCTACCCTACCTTCTGAAAGTTTTTTCCCTTAAATTAAATCATTAATTTCGCACCGGCACATGCAGTGAAGGCATATGAGTATCTTGTTTTCTGACTATAGCGACAACAGCTTGGGTAAATTTTTGTGCAGAGTTTTCCTTTGTAATAAATCTTATTTATTTTTATAGTAAGCTAGTGGTTTATTATGGTTTATTCTTTGTTTTTAGTTAGTTGAATAGCATCTCACATCCTTTTTGTTTGTTCACTTCTTAACCATTTCTTGTGTGCTTATTTCAAATCTTCACTGCAAGGGAAAGAATATGTTCTGCATTCAATTAAATAGTGCTATGGTACCTCGAAATGGGTTTTCCCTATAGTAATGTTGCTGTCAGAAACAGTTAACATAATCATATCCTGTTACTCAAGTAGTGCCTTGGCTAATATGGTTCTATTTATTTTTCAGAACACCTTTGCACTATGCAGCTGCAAATTGTCATTTTCAATGTATTGAGATGCTGGTAACCACAGGGGCCAATATTAATGAAACCGATGACTGCGGACGAACAGCTTTACACTATGCTGCAGCCTCAGACATGGACAGAAAGTAAACAAGCTTATTTGTATTCCTTGTTTCTAATTCATTGCTAAGCCAGTGTCATTTCTGTTCTCTTCATGCAGCAATCTCATTTGAACAAAAACTACCTTTTGAATCAAATACCTCTTTAAAGTCTGCATCAGCTACTGGAATTGCTTTCAGTTACTACCTCCTCCTGCATATTGAGTTGGTTTTGCAACTGCATAGTTTGTTTCAAGTTGCTGATCTCTACAAATATGCCAGCTTCAACTTCTTTATATTTTACTCCCTTATTTGTGTTTATCTTGCTACAGCTTCTCACATGGTTGTATATGGCATATAAATATTTCATCTGCCTTCCAAAATTTTAGCAAAACTACTGAATAACAAAAATGACAGCTGCTTTTTTAAAAAATTCATTATTTTTCGCATGTACAGCTATCCAGTTGCACAAAAATCCCATTAACTAGTATTCTTAAGTCTTTTTCGGAACGTTGGATTTGCCTAAAATAAATTAAACTTCCTGAATTAGAGTAGACATTT